ACACACACGCGCACGCACGCACGCACGCTCCCGCCGCGGGGCCCCTGGAGACGGGAGGCAGGCTGGCGCAGTCAGCCTCAAATATGATGAGTTTTGTTTCCAGCCAATTATTTTGTCGGCCCACGGCGTCGCGTTTGCATGCGAATGGCCTGGGATGAGCGCGCGCGACCTGCATGCCGAATGTGTCGATGCCGAATGTGTCGTCGGTGCCGGCCGAGTGTATGGTGAACGTGCATGTGGATCTCAAAGCCGCTAAGAGAGAGGAATGTGCGGAATTTTATCAATAATTATTTAATTTCAAATTCATCTCTATATGTTTTTTTTAATCGTCAAATTACTCTTTTTGTACATATGTTGCAGAATCGCTATACGCACAGGATGTGCGGGCTACCACGATAATGAAGGCATCATCATGAGATGAGATGCCAGGCAGCTCGTTCGACCGCGCCAGCGTGCGTGAAAGGGAAAAAAAATTGCACACAGAGGGGGAGGGGGGAGGGCGGGTGCTAGTGTCTCCTAGATGTCCGCCCCGCCAGACGACCGGCCGGGGCGTGGCGGGGCGGGGCCTATGCTTTATTCAATCCTCCCTCAGCTGTCGGGACGACAAAAGTTTTTGTTGTGATGGACAGCTTTGTGTTTTATAATGTATACAAGGCTTGCCGCTTCTATATACACTCGCCAGTCGCCACTGCCTTTTCTCCCGCCTCTGCCCCGCCGCGCCACGCCCCGCCACGGTCCGCCTGGTCCACGTTCGTTCCGTCGCCTTCCCGCGGAAATAGTACGCCGCCGTAGTATGCGTTCGGCTCGGCACTCCGCCCCGAGCAGCGTGGTCGCTGCGGTGTTTTGCACAAGTTGTCCTGTCCTCGTCTCCCCTGTCTCGAGCCATCCGCCACCCCTGTCCCCTGTCCCCCATCACGAGGCAGCTTCAGCCGCGCGAGAGGCCCCGCTCAGCGCCCGCCCGCGCGCGGATAGGCAGCGCGCCGGGCGCCCGCGCCGGCTGGGTTGCCTACTCTGCGGGCGGGCCACAGTCGCAGGTCTTTCTCTACTACGAGCTAAAAAAATATATACTTCTATTTATTTACCGAATTTATAAGTGAGAGCGAGCAGACTGCTTACACAGCTGAGGGGCTCTTTTAGTTCTTTTAATTTTAGTCTCAAAATAAAAATGTCAATTTCTCTCTCTCTCTCTCTCTCTCTCTCTCTCTCTCTCTCTCTCTCTTGCCGCCTTACATAACATCTCTTTCTTTCTTTGCTCCATCTATCTTTTCATCTGATCCTTCCCCACCCGCCCTGGATTATGTCTGCGAAGGGGGCGGTGCGCGGGGATATGTGTGGTGGTGGTCGGTGTGCCCGAAGAAAACGAATGACTCCGTCGATTTCTACGATTCCTGGGTCCGCTTCATGCTGGTGTCATGTGTGGCCGCCCCTTGGCCTTCCCCGTCGCACCCCGCCCCGCCCCGCCCACTCCGCCGGACCCAGGGCCTCTGTAGGCCGCTGCTGGGCCGGGGGTTGATTTATCAGCGGGCGGGGGAGGGTATTCCGTCGCGAGGCTTCCAACTTGGGTGATTGTTCATATTTGTACGTCGATAACTTCCTGTATAAATCCCGCCACTGGCGGGGCCCGGCACGTCCCGGGCGGGCTAGGGGCGGAGGGGGCGATGAGGACACACCTACGCGTGGAGTGGACCGCCGTACCTCCAACGGCTGCCCTGGAAAACTCGCATTCAAGGGAGGAGGGGAAAAAATTGTTCCCGCGTATACAACACACTGAATTTTTATGAACTTTGTTTTTGTACACACTTACGTATTTCTGTGTGGGCATGCTCTATTGCGTACTATTACAAACGCATTTATGAACAATATTGTTCCTTTCTGCAAATATATTCCCAAATTCGTTCATAATTGCGCTTAAAATAATATGCAATAGATGCACAGGGAAATACGTAGGCTGCAGCTAAATAATTAGCTGTCATAGTTAATCATTGCAAGAGCTTACCTTCTATGCCTCCTTCAGAAATGTTAAGCGAACTATTTTAGCATCATACACGGAAAAAAATTACTTCGTTGTGAGAATCAATTATGATTGGTAGGCTAAATTCGATAGCTGGAATATAGAATTCGATACCCACAACCAGGAGTTAGTTGCCACGACCGGACACTTGCACGAATAGAACGAACTCCAGCTTGGTTCTATTCGTACAAGTGCCCGGTCGTAACAACCGACTACTGCTTGTGAGTACTCTGAAAACTCAACAGTGTACATTGTATGCTGAAAAATCAGCGATCATTGATGATTGCTGATATATCAGTGTCCATGGAATGATTGCTGATATATCAGCAATCATAAATGATCACGTTTAGGTTTTTGGCTAATATTTCCTTTCAGACGGATATCATCGGAAAATGAATAGCATTTCCAGATTCCTCGTGAAAAATGCTTTCAAACGAGCTACTATGTGATGGGGTTCGAATTGACCGCTACCAAACTTGGCTTACATTACCGACATTTTCGAGAGGCGGACCATTTCGGTAGTGAACCTTATCACATAGTAGCTCGTTTGAAAGATTTTTTCACGAGGAATCTCGAAATGCTATCCATTTTCCGATGATACCCGTCTGAAAGGAAATATTAGCCAAAAACCTAAACGTGATCATTTATGATTGCTGATATATCAGCAATCATTCCATGTACACTGATATATCAGCAATCATCAATGATCGCTGATTTTTCAGCATACAATGTACACTGTTGAGTTTTCAGAGTAGCGGATTCTCAGTTCCAGCTACCGAATTTAGCCTACCAAACAGAACTGGTCCCAGCAACAAAGTCTTTTTTTTTCGTGTAGCTAAATATAGTTATCCCGTATTTAGCTACTGGCTTATCTACTACAGCTGTATAATCTGGTTTCTCGTGTATGCACAAGTGTACACAAATTTTGTTGAGAGACTGCGTAAAAAATGTAGTTTAAGTCTAGAGGTCTAGAGAAAGAAAAGACACAAATTTCTTGCACAACTTTTGAATGCATATTTTGCGGTTTTGTTAACGCTAGTGCAGACGGTACACCCGTCAGGGCGGCCGCGCACGAGCAGGCCGTCTCGTTGGTCGGGACCGCACGCGTGTTTTTCCCTAAGTGCCCCGGTCGTGTTTACGGCGTCCTGACCCGCGCGGTGGTACAGGGGGGGGGGGGGGGCATGTCCAAGTTTGAGAGCTTCGATCATCGTATCGCTGCTTCTAGCCGCCGAGGTCGGAATGAGTTTCCCCCACGGCAGCCAGCAGTAGCAGCAGCCCTAGCTCCTCCTGGCCTCCAGGCCTGCGTGTCTGTCCGATCTGTTCGACCCGATCGCAACTTTAGCACTTGAGTTTACTACCGCCCTGCTGCTGCGGCACGCCCGACCCCGCCCCGCGCCGCCCCGCCCCGCCCCAGCACGAGTAGAAGGGTTGTGTGTCCGCCTAGCCGGGGATGATACAAAAATATTGGGCGACTGACGACGGTCCTCGTCGGTGACGGCGGTCATCAGCAGCCGAGTGACCCTCCCTCCCCACCCCAATCCTCTCTCTCTCTGGGTGGGGAAGTACCCTGCCCAAGCACCGCGAAAAACGTATAAGCTGCCCCCCGGTGTAATTGTGACAACATATAACGGAAAGCTTATTTCGTCCAAACTTCAACTTGAAACGCCACAACTGTACACAACAGTGTGATCACGTCCATAATTTCCTCTGATATGACATGTTTTTGAACTGTCAATACAGAATTGAATGGTGTCCGCCGAGGGCTGTTTCACTCCAAGAAAACGTGTACAGCGTACTGCGTATTACACTGTATTACGCGGTATTACGCCGGTATTACATGGAAATAATTGCCATTTTAAAGCATATTTTGATATGTTTCAGTATTAAACTGTGCGTAATACCGTGTAATACCCAGGCCAGGTGTACAGTGTATTACGCAAGGTGTCCGCAAATCTGTCCCTTATTGTCCCTTGCCTGCTATAGTTAGGTTGCTTTTGTTCAGTCGCGATATTGCCATTGGTCGGTCTGGTAGACTGCAAATCGCGCTACTCGGAAAGGCTCGCTGTTGAGGTTTGGGGTTCTCCGTATATAGCCTTGAGAGCTCGGCCAATTATCAGACTTAGGCCCCTCCACCGTGCTGGTACCCCGAGGCTGCCCCC